TTTATTTTTAATAAGAGAAACATCCTGAATTCTCATTTTAATAAGATCTAAGCCGACAGCCTCCAGTGCAGAGCTGCATGGCTGTTAGCCTGCGCAGTCATCAGATCCAGACCCGGCACTTTGTCCTGACCTCTTGACCCCAGAGGTGGACCGTGAGGTCAACGCAATAGTCTCGATCCTGGTTAATTAGTCAGGCATCTGGGGTCAGGAAAGCCCAGCAGCAAACCTCTGTGAACACATGCCTGAGAGCTTTCCTCCGGGGATCTGCTGAGATTCTGTTTTGCCTCGTTTCCACCGAGAGTCACAAGTTAACTGTGACTAAAGGAAGGAATGGATCAGAACAAAGGAGGCGTGCAAAACAGCCGTCCCACCGTGTTGGTTTTAGGTGCAACACGAGGCGGACGGAGCATTTTTGTCACGCATTCATAACTTCTTCAAACAAGTTTAACCTCACAGTAAGAATGAAGTTTTTATGCTGCTGAACTCAGCTTTACTTCCTGTTTGGAAGTAAAGCTTCCAAACAGGAAGCTTTACTTGCTGTTTTAAAGACAGTTGTGCAAGTTCACTTTCTACAAGAATTTGCTCAACATTCATTTCCATAATCTAATTGCGTCAGCAGTTATACATTCTGAGCCAAATCCAAACTCCCAGGTTATTAAAAAAGGTTTAAGATAGAAACCTCCATAAAGGCCTTAAACTCCGTCCTGCTTTATGGCATCATCCATCACAATAATAATAGCTTTAGTGTCTTTTACTTGGAATCTAATTTACATCTGATTCACTTTTCTTTGCTCACAAAGGTTGCATTAATAATGCAGACTCCCAAAGTGAACTTCTCAAATGTTTGTTGTTTGGAATAAAGTTCAGCTGCTGTCAGACACTTGATTCATTAAGATGAAACCTTTATGGAAAACATTCAATTATTCTCTACCAAAATGTCTCCACTAAACTGCCCAGTCAGGATTTACAGAAAATATTTGTTTTTGAAAGAATGACTGTTACTCTAAAACTGGAAGAAGTCAAATGTAAACAAAAACGGGACAAATTGATCATTTGCAAAATATTAATAATTGTTGTAGATTAAATTGTTTTCTGTCATATATAAGAACTGGCGACTGTCAGTTTAATTGTGTATTTTATTTTATGGTTTATTTTGTTTAAAATAAAAGTTGTTTTGATTTATTTTTATGCCAATATGTTTTTGGAAATTAAGCAATAAATACAGCTAATTGGCCAACATTAGCTGTTCTCTGAGAAGACCTAATAATTTATTCAGAAGTAAATAAAAAGACTCATCAATCTAAATGCCTTCCTGTTGAATCAAACTTTATACCAGAGCCAGACCAGGCGCTTTGTTCCTGTGGCGTTTTGGAAGCTGCTGTACGCGAAGGCCTGTTGTGAAGGTCTTTGTGAGCTGAATGCAGCTTGTTGTGGGACAGGAAGCCAGCTGAGGTTCAGCCTCTTCCACTCTTTAGGTCTTGGCTCTGTGTGTAAACAGTTTCTGTTTGTGTTTTGTTGCCTGCGTCTGAGCAACCAGGAAGTTGCTCCCTAAATCCGAACAGAGGGTCGGATGCAGCCCGCCTCCCGCAGAGGGGCAAAGCGGGCTTTAGCTGTGCATGCAAGAAGTAATTTAATCTTAATCTTCTTTGTTGCCTAACAAGCTGGTGTTTTATCTCAGTAAGATCGTTTCACTGTTTTCTTGTAAAACACTTTTCTTTCCCTGAGCAGACGGTCGAATAACACCGATCTCACTTTCAGTCACGACTCGACTCAGTTTCTGAGAAACTCTTTCAGTGGACGCAGTCTGCAGCTCTGTGTTTGTACAAAGAGTCTGGGTGAGGTCCAGAGCTGTGCAGGCACTTTGTCCAACATGCTGTTTGGTGGGTCTGAAGGCTCCCTCCTTCCTGCCACTGGGGGGTTTTACCTTGGGTGGCAACAGTGTGTGGAGGTCCAGTGAACGGCACAAAGACTGCCTGCTGTTTAGGTGTGTGTGTGTGTGTACATGTGTGTGTTTGCAGCCAGAAGGCCCTTAAATGGGTCACCTTTACGGACCTCTGTTACAACCGACGTCCCAATAGTCTAAACTATTTACAAAAAAACTAAACATGAAAACGTCAAACACTGTAAAAATAATTCCACCTAACTTTGGTCATGTAATGTTGATTATCCTGCTGTTTGTGTAGCACTGTGCAAAAGTTGTAAATCAATTTCATATTGTCCTCCTATTTCTTGTTTTTGAGACACAAGAAAAACTGAGAAATCATCCAATGTCCAAAGGAAATCTCTGAAGACATTCAGAAATCTCAGTGATTAACATCGTTTTAAAATAAAGTCGCAGGTCAGAGGTGCATTTTCTTTTTTTCAAACACTGTACAAGTATTTAAAAACAACAAAATTTCTAACAATATTTTACTGAATAGACTTTTTAAACAGAAAAGCTTTAAACGTGGCGTTAGAGAGCGATGAAAGTGACAGTTGTAGCTGTTGGGACGTTGCTGTGGGTCTTCCTGCTGCTTGGTGACCTAAAGCCTGGATGCCTGCTTACAGTCGTCTCCCATGCGTGTTTCCAAACCTCCGTCTGTCCTGTCATAACATCCCACCTCGCCTCAGGCTGCAGCCAGAAACCCTGAGTGTTTATTTCATCCTCGGTCCTGTTCTCCATCAGAACCGTAACCTTTTCCTGATCCACAGCTAACAGGTGAAAGTTCAGCTTCATTTTTAAACCTAAAGTCTTGAATGATTGCTCAGGGGCCGTCAGGAATGAGCGCTCGCTGCGACTCTGCTGGAGTTGTTTGCTTGGCTGCTGCAGTTCTCTCTGTTCCTGCTCCATAAGGCTGTTAGAAATGTCTGCTCTGCTCTATCTGTACCCATTTGTCTCCTGTAGGAACGAGGCGTCATGGAGTGTAATAACACCAGTTAACCCAACGCACATGTTGGACAACATGCAAACACCACAACCTGCAGATTACAGCAGTTCTCACCACTTTAATAGGGAATACTTCTCTACTGACTGGATCTAACGTTACACATTGTTTAGACATAAAGTATAATTTCACATCTTTTTAACAGCACTTGCCACCACATCCCTCAGTCCTTTCAGCTTGCCCAATTTTTATTGATATGACTCCTTTGAATACAAAACACTTCATAAAACGTTTTTTAAAAATTCACAGAGAAGAATAGAAAATGTAATCTAAACATATGTGAGCGTCTAAAAACGTTACCGTCGGTTTTTAGAAAAGATCGATGGAGCCGTCAATAAGTTTTTACGCTTGCTTGAGGCGGTTCATGGCTTTTCCCAAAAGAAGATGACACGTTAAACTGAAATGTCATTCCTCCGGTTCAGAGGAGAGAGCTCTCCGTTTTTCTGAGATGTTTCCATGCTAGCTTGCAAACTTTACTTCCTGTTTATTACAGCTACATATAGCATCAACATAGACATAGTGCTTCAGCTTCTGGTCACACATTTAGAATAAAGTTTGATTTGGTCCAAACTTGCAGATGGAAACAAACCAATTTTCTTTTTCCATCTTTTTTTTTTTTTTTTTTGCGACATTTTAAAGGTTTACTCAGAATTTGCAAAACAACTGGATGGAAATTAAGCTAATGACTGTTAGCTTCTTCTAGCTACACATATAAACACAGCTGAGTATCATCAGCATAGCAGTGAACATTATTTACTGTTTGTTATTTTATAGAGAAATAAAGGAATTAAAACTGAACTAAATGTCTGTAAATATTAAATACCTTTTGGAAATGTTTTTCATAAGTTCTTTTTTCTGCAGCTTTCCCTCTTTACTGACACCTTTAAAGTTCCCACTTTTATCTTTTATAAGGATCTACCCAACCATTATCCAAAGGGGCAGAGTCAGATAAGTCACACTTACTGGAAAAAGTTGTTTACGAACTTGAAGGAAGCACCCATTTGAACATAGCTTTAATTTAAAGTCAGCGGCTTAAAGGCAGAATTTCTCTCAATAAAGGAGATGAAGGAATAAATGTGCAAACATTTATTCTGCAGTCCGGCCCGGTTGATCCGGAGCGCCACAGAGAGCCAGGTTAGGCGGTTTGCTCATCCGTGGCGCTCTGCAGTTGTAGCATCTGAGTCGTCGTCACTTCATCTTCTCTGGTGGGAGATTTCTCTCCTTACTCAAAGTTTCAATGTTCCTGCTTTGTTTTAAATGAAAACAAGGTTGTTGTTTTTTATAAGAGCAGATTGAAGACAGCCAGCAGGCGGTGTCGTGCCTTTGTCGTAGAACTGACTTGTGTCCACTCAGTAAGTGTTTAACTGGGAGTGACACGCTGCACCAGTGATTACAGACCAGTCCAACGTGTCTGACTGGATGGTTGGACATGCAAAATCATAGTAATCAACGCAGTGAAAGGAGAGTAGCTGTTTTAACTGCCAGCTTAGTGTAACACACAGTTTATGGCTTTTGTTTGTTACAGCCTGAAATGGTGATGAATATATCAGATTTTTGTCCTTTTAACCGTTGCAATACAAAAACAAGTTTTCATTTCTGCAAGTTTCAGTGCAGCTCTTAGAATCCAAAGAAACGTTTTGGGTCTCAGCAGCAAAATGAAGGTAGTTATGTAGCTTTTTTTTCTTGTCAAATAAAATTGACAGGCAGATTCTGATATTTTCTGAAGATGTTAAATGTAAACAAGTGTCAGCATGATGGATGTTGGCAGGTGGGAAGCATTATGGCGCCACCTGGAGGCTGGTAATGGAACAAATAAAGATTTTTATAAAAGTTATTTTAACAAAATCTAATCGACCACAGTTGATTTTGTCCAAGTTTAGGGTTGTGCTTCATAAACATATATTTGCAGTGACGGTTTGTACTAATAACTTTTCCACCTGAGATCAAAAAAATAAGAAATGACCCAGGAAAACATCACACAAATCCCCTGCAGCTGACTGGAAATGATGTTTTTCTATTTCCATTCTAGCAGGTTGAATAGCTATAAACTAGAAATCTTGTTTTTTTTGTCCCCAGTGGAGAAAGTGGAGCTGGTAAAACCGAAAGCACCAAGCTGATTTTGAGGTTTCTGTCCGCCATGAGCCAACACTCGCTGGAGGTTTCCTGCAGAGACAAAACGTCGCACGTGGAGGAGGCACTGCTGGAGAGCAGGTCGTTATCCGGCTAAGGCTAACTCTCCCAGCTTCCCAGTTCACTTCACCTTCTACCTGACGACTTAACGACTCCCTCTCTCATCAGCCCCATCATGGAGGCCTTCGGAAACGCCAAGACCGTCTACAACAACAACTCGAGCCGCTTCGGGAAGTTCGTCCAGCTGCATTTCAGTCAGAAGGGAAACATCCAGGGAGGAAGAATAGTTGACTGTATCCTTTCAAACGCTCTCAGGGTTAGACGGACAGAAACTCATTTCCTCTTTTTATACCTGGAAAAGGTTTGGGAGAATTTAAAGTAGGAAGTGGTTTAATTAGAAAAGGTTTCCTCCAGATTTCTGTTGAAAGTTAAATGGTTTTATATTTTTAAAATCAGTTTTTAAACCTTAATTTATGGTTTGCAGCCAGACTGTGACTGATAGATGATTAGTATTATGTGCTGGACTGTCAAGGTGTTATTGTCTTTGTCTGGGAATTCATATCTGACATTTTGATGAATTTTGTAACTCTACTGAGATATTTGACTGTTGTGTACCTTAACTGATTCTTTTCTGATGAAAGATCTGCTAGAAAAAGTAAGTGCTTATGATTCTTCCAAGCCTCAACGTATGCTAAAGTGTAGCACTGATGTTTAAGTCTTCATGCTCTGAAAGCCGATTAAAGCAACAACCGGAGCTCAAGTGACGTTAAACATTAAAACTTGGACTGAGAAAATATCACAAAAACTTCTCATCTGTCTGGAAATCTTAGTCATCTCTGCAATCAGTTTTGATTTTAAAAGCATAAACCAACGGCTGATGATGATCCGACTCATATTGATCTTTGTCCTCTTCAGAATCGAGTTGTTCGGCAGAACCCAGGAGAGAGAAACTATCACATTTTTTACGCCATATTATCAGGAGCCAACAACCAGCAAAGAGGTGAGTTTCTTTGGGTTTTGGCGTCGCTGTTTAACATTTTATTTTGTGACGGAGGATCAGATTGTTTCTCTTTGTTTCTGCAGAGGCGTTCGGGTTGACGCGTCCTGAAAGCTACCACTACCTGAGACAGTCCAACTGCACGGAGGACAAGACAATCAACGACAGCGGCACCTTTCAGGACATTCTGGTACCAACAGTCTCTGAGCAAACATTCAGTCAAACCTAAACTACACCTGAACGTCTAGTTGGTCTGATTAGAAAAGTCTCAAATCTTCAACATTAGGAAGATTGCTGTTACTTTAAGGGTGGTTTAAATATAATTGATTTTTTGTCTGCATGTTTTATTCTAATTTAATTTCAGTGTATATGTATACTGCTTGTCTTTTTTTGTTCTTATCAATGTTTAATAAGTTATTCATAAACTTACACCAGTGAAAACCTCAAAACTGAGAACATATTGACTGTAAATAATGCAAATGACACAAAGAAATACGACCAGTTTATTTAGTAACTCAGCAGCAGGTTTTCATGCCCAGGTTTTTTGTATCTTTGTGGTTTTCAGAGCGCGATGCGAACCATGCAGTTCACAGAGGAGAACATCAGGGAGGTCCTGCGCCTCCTGGCGGGGATTCTCCATGCAGGAAACATCGAGTTCATGACGGCTGGAGGCGCTCAGGTCGCCTCAAAATCAGGTCGGAAAATTCATCCCCACCTTCCTCACTGCCTTCATGTTGCCTTTTTCTCTCCCAGCTCCTCTCTGTGCTGACAGAAAAAAATCCTGCATCTTAATTATATCTGGTAGTTTTTAATTGTTGTGAAAATCTATGATGAATAACGAATGTTTGAAATCTTTCCAGAGTTTCTGAGTTGGTATTAGTGAAAGCGGCGGGTTTTGTTGTTTTCTTCTGCAGCTCTGAGTTGGACGTCTGAACTTTTGGGCCTGAACTCAGATCAGCTGGCAGAAGTCCTGACTCACCGCTCCATGATCCTCAGGGGGGAGGAGATCTCCACGCCGCTAACAGTCGAACAGGTCAGAGGTCAAGGCATGTAGGATGAAATATGGAGAAAATGCATTTATTTTATTTTAAACAAAAGTTCTGAGGTGGTCCTGACGAAGTCCAGCAAGTGATGAAGCTCAATAACAATAAAAAACTTTTAGTTGTAACAAACTAGATTAGTTACCATAACTACATAATACAGACATTACAATGTTAACACTACAAACCTATTGAAGCTCTGATTCAGAGACAAGTCAATGTTTATTCAGCTCAACAGAAATTCAACTTGTTTTTAAACAGGAACAATGAGCACACTCATTCAGTTATTACAGGTATAAACTACTGAACCTCCAGAGTCACATAAACACAGTTACAAACTCGGCCTTTTATCACTAAAACTAACAAATAGGAGCACATCAGCTCAGCCTTAAAGCCGTCCAGTGCTGTTTTCTTTTAAACTTACAGAAAAGTCCTTAAGTTTCATCAGCTTCAGTTCTGCTCATTTCTGCCTGAGTGAATCTTACTGTAAATCTTTAATCTGTTTCCTAATAACAATCTGTTTTTGAAGGCGGTGGACTCCAGGGACTCCATGGCCATGGCACTTTATTCTCAGTGTTTCAACTGGATCATTCACAAGCTGAACCACCGGATCCGGGGCAAGGAGGACTTCAAGTCCATCAGCATCCTGGACATTTTTGGATTTGAGAACTTTGAGGTTTGCAGTTTCTTTATCTGTAATGTGTGAGATCAACAACACTTTCATAACACAATCTTGTAATTCTGTTCATAATGTTCCTGCATTAATTGTGTATTTAGTGTTGGATTGATGTAGAAACCTCAGGAATGTCTTGCTGTTCATAATTTTAGTGTTCTGGTTTGCTCCCCTCAGGTTAACCGCTTTGAGCAGTTCAACATCAACTATGCAAACGAGAAGCTTCAGGAATATTTCAATAAGCACATTTTCTCCCTGGAGCAACTTGAATACAACAAGTAGGTGATGATGCTCCGTTTCTTTTCCTCCACGTTTCGTTCTTTTTCTGCTGTTTCAGCTCTGGGTTGAAACGGAAACAAGGGAAATAGACGATGGAAAAACATTTTAAAATATTTCAGATTTTCCTTCTGTTCCACATTTTAAAAAAATATAAAACTGGCTGTTCTAAAAGTAAATTAAACAATGCATTTGTATGGGAACCTCAGGTCTAGAATTTTAAGTTTTAATGGGGATATTTTGTTTGGGACACACAGAGACTCGGTCGTGTCTCAAGCGATAAAGTCGCAGTTTTACATTCACTTCTTGGGTTTTATAAACAGCTGTTGGGACCTGCAGACAAATTCAACAGTCTGACGTAGTTTTCTGTTGTTTCTGCAGAGAGGGCCTGGTTTGGGTCGACATCAACTGGATGGACAATGGAGAGTGTCTGGATTTGATCGAGAAGGTATGCAGATCATTTCTTACTCCAAACAGGATCATTTTTAAAGCTTGTAAGTGAAGCACAGACAATTTTACATCAGATTTAAATGACACATGTGGAGTAATGAGCCAAATCAAGATTATTTTGGTCATAAACATGTATTTAATATTAGCTGTAAACTCTGCAGGAACAGTTTGAATGTGAAATGTTTCATTTGTTCTTAGAAACTGGGTCTCCTGGCGCTGATGAACGAGGAGAGTCACTTCCCCAAAGCCACAGACGACACCTTACTGGAGAAACTCCACAGCCAGCACTCGGTCGGTCTCCAGCATCCTCCTCTCGCTTTTAGTGTACAGCCATGTTGTATTCATGCAAGATGCACACATTGTCAGCAGGTTATTGTAAGAATAAATTATAAAGTCTAAATCTCATTTTACATATTTATCTCACCTGAATGTAATGTTCTCCTGTCTTTCCCATTTAAAAAACAGGCTAATTTATGTTGTTCAGTAGCTTTGCGTGGTCAATATCAATTTTATTTGTATGGAATGTTAAAAAAACAAAAACAGCTTCATAATTTATCCAAATAGTAAAAATTAGACTTTAAATTTGAATTAAATTAGCTCTGATTTAACACTAGATCAATGTAGAAAGGGTAAATTATATATCCTGAATGTCTAGTTTGACTTTGTGAAAGTTATTACCTCAGAATAATAATTGACCTTTTCTTTCTTCTACAGAAAAAATCCATTTTATGTGAAACCTCGTGTTGCTGTGCACCTATTTGGAGTCAGACATTATGCAGGAGAGGTAACCGCCTCACAGCTGAGCCTCGGATATTTTTACTGTTGTCTTTTTATTGAGATCTGAAAATTGTGAGGAGAAAAAAAGTTTCTTCTCTGTTTTGCTTTGCTCCTGTAAAACCGCGCTGCCCCCTTGTGGCTGTTTCCAGGTGGTGTATGACGTGAGGGGGATGCTGGAGAAGAACAGAGACACTTTCAGGGACGACATCCTCAACATGCTGAGAGAAAGCAGGTCGGCTGGATGGTTTGGAAGTGATGAAAAATGTTTTTGACCTTTATCGCCTGTTTGGCATTCCTGACTCCGCCCTTTGTTTGCCAGGTTGGATTTTGTCTATGATCTGTTTGAACACGTATTGAGCCGAAACAAGCAGGACACGCTGAAGAGCAGCACCAAGCACAGACGGCCCACCGTCAGCTCCCAGTTCAAGGCAAGTCAAACTGGGAGCAAACAGCAGATGAGCTTTAATGTACTAGATAGAATATTCTCTATACTACAATGTAGTATAAGCAGAATATAGAATAGAATTCTGTACTTTCTACAGAATAGTATTATTCTATATGCTATAGTATTTTTCTACTACTTGTATTCTCTAGTAGTATAGTAGATAGTACATATACTATCTACTATATTATTTTACATGTCATAGTATTCTCCACTGCTAGACATACATATACAGAATAATAGTATGTAGTAATAGTGTAGATATAGTTATCGATAGATATATAGAGATATATATGTATAGCTATATATATATATATGTGGAAAGTATTACTTTCCATAGTAGCATGCATACATATATGTATGCATCTTCTTTTTTGAGTTTTGTTATTATATTTGCAGTACTGAAGTTACGTCAATAAAAGAGCAAATTAAAAGTGGAATCTGTTGAGCAAAGATAGAAAGTAAAAAATAAGAGTGTTCATGTTTCTCCAGGACTCTTTGCACTCTCTGATGGCCACCCTGAGCACGTCCAACCCGTACTTCATCCGCTGCATCAAACCAAACACACACAAGGTGAGTCCCTGTTTGCGGGTCAGGATGTCACAGTGCTGACAGTCTGTGTGAACTGGTTGTCATTTAATCGTTAAACAGTCCCCCCCTCCACGAGGTAGACGGGGAAGAAAAATGTCTGGCTGCTTTGATGACCTTTAGCCCCAGGTTTCCTAGCAACAGGCTCTGGCAGTGAAGCATGCCAGAGCCTGTTCACAGCTGAAATACAGAAATGGGTTTTGGGATATTCCACCTGTACTGTGGTAATTGTTTCTGACTGGGAGGCTGCTGTGAAGGGGATGGACTGAGCAAAATTCACATTTTGCACATTTTTGAAAGTCCATGCTGGTTCTGAAACCCAAGTTCTTAAAATGAAAACTCCAGACTGTTTTTGGCCACAGGTTAAAAACAGATGTGTTTTCTTAAAGCAGAAAACACATCTATTCGCACATCTATTTGTCGTGCAAATAGATGTGCACGACAAACAGATGTGATGTCACTGATGACATCACAGGCTGTTACTTCGAAAGTTCTTGAATAGAAACCACTTAGGCTGGGGCAGCATTGCTATCATGGCACGGAAATCACGACACAGACGGCGGTCCTCTGAAGCGTATCGGCGCAAGAGGGCGCGCAAACTCACCAAAGCCCGTGGGCAGAAGAGGCGCCATCATGCCTCCTCTGTACGCAAACGGTTGAGGTAGGTTTGTGTCAGTTTCCCTCGTTAAGCATGTAGCATGCACTGTTTTCTTTGTTTATTTGATTCTCTGTAAAACAAGGAAAGTGGGTTGGCCCTTTTCCACTGCTCAGCCAGTGGAAAAGGGCACTGGGGACTTTTTCAGGGACTTTTCCGGCTGCAGCCGGGGACAGGTCTCAGTAGTAGTCCTGAATGAATGTGATGTCACTGATGACATCACCAGCTGTGAATTCAAAATTTCTTGAATAAAAGGCTACTTAGCTTAGCCGTAGCATTGCTACAATGGCACGTAGAGTACGACGTAGACGGCGAACCTCCAACGCGCCTCGACGTAGGAGAGGTCGCAAGGCTATCAAAGTCCGTAGCCGGAAGAGGCGCCAAAATGCTCCTCTGTCTGCCGACGTGGGAGACCATGCTGTCACTAGTTACTCTCGTTCAACTTGTAGCATGCGCTTTTTCCTTTTTTCCGTTTTTTTTTTTATTTGGCACTGATATGCAGTGACATGGCTGTTCACCTGCACCATAGGTGAACAGCCATGTCACGTTTGTGTGGATCATCCGTCTCAGAGCTGAGACAGATGTGGATGTTCTGAGTTGGAGCCATCTTGGTGAAAGCCAGATTTGTTCATCTCAAACAGACAAATCTTTGGCCAAAGTTCGGTCAGGTTGGTCACACTTCACGTTAAATAGGCTTAATTACGTCAGTCAAAGTCAAAAATGGATGTGATGTCATTGATGACATCACAGACTGTTACTTCAAAAATTCTTGAATGAAAGACAACATAGCTTAGCGTAGCATTGCTACAATGATACGTAAATCACGACACAGACGGCGGTCCTCTGAGGCCCACCGGCGCAAGAGAGCCCGCAAACAAACCAAAGCTCGTGGCCTGAAGAGGCGCCACAATGCCTCCTCTGTCCGCAGACGCTTGAAGTAGGTTTGTTGTTACTTGCTCTCGTTCAGCATGTAGCACGCGCTTTTCAGCTGAAAAGTGTTCCCTTTGTCTTTCTCTTTATTTCTTCCTTGTCAAACAACCAGTCGATCAGTGATTCTCTAATCCAGTCCTCCAGGATTCTTGCCCTGGAGGACTGGGCAAGATTCCCAGGTTTCTGTAAACCTTCAAGGATCTTAGCTTCCTCAGGACGTCCAGTCTGCGTCTCCAGTCTGTTGTCCAGATGAACACCAGCAGGAGTCTCTCCAAGACCTTGTGGGGTGTCAAGAGAGGAGAATGATGAACTGAATTAGTTGAAGAATGTGCTCAGCTCATTGGCTCTGTCCAGACTTCTGATCCTCCTTTTGCTTGAAGCCTGTGTCGTCTTCAATCCTGGCCTGATCTCTGATCCAGTTTCTCTGACAGGATCAGAGATCTGCAGTTTGTTCTCCAGCTTCTTCCCTATTTGACTTTGAGCTGCTTCTGTTTACTCCCTTGCTTCAATAACTCCCTTGTTCCATAAAGGTTCTTTTTTCTTGTTTAACAGGACATTTGGGTCACTGGTGATCCAGGGTTTCTGGTGGGAATGGTGCTGTCCACAAACATTGACTCACTCAGTCATGACATTGATGTAATCTCCATTTGGCTGGCAAAGGAAAATCCAATTTGTTGCTTCAAAACAACCGTCCTGAAGATGGTGATTTTGGTCTTGATTTTTCTGGTTGAGCAAACCAGTCAAGGTTATTGGGGTTTATCACCATGAACTGTAGGATTAAATCACATATTTAAGAATAATGCTGGTCCAAAACAAGAAACAACACAAATGTGTTTTCCTTTCAGTTTCTTTGCAAAGCAGTAACATGCGGTACAAACTGGTCACACCTCTTGATTCACTTTAAATTTTTTATGAAAAAGGAAGAGACACAGACAAAGTATGACATCATCAGTGATGGAGTGATGTCATTGATGACATCACAGGCTGTGACATCAAAAGTCCTTGAATAAAGGACCACTTAGCTTAGCAGAGCATTGCTACAATGGCACGTAGAGCACGACGCAGACGGCGCTCATCGCCGTCCTCGTCCTCTGAGGACGAGAACCCTCAGAGACGTAGGAGAGGTCGTAAGAATCGCAAATTCCGCGTCTGGAAGAGGCGGCAAAACGTCTCCTCCGGACGTAGACGAGGGCGGCATGTTTGCCATCACTAGTCACTCTCGTTGAACATGTAGCAAGCACGTAAAAGCCCAAAAAAATTAATAAAAAATAAGAAACATCATCAAGCAGTTTGTGGTGAGTGAGTGACTGGTTACTCACGACAGACTCAAAAGTAACCAGTCACTCACTCACTCACTCACACTCACTCACTCACTCACTCACTCACTCACTCACTCACTCATCACTCATCACTCACTCACTCACTCACTCACTCACTCACTCACTCACTCACTCACTCACTCACTCACTCACCACAGACTGCTTGATGAGGTTTTTTATTTCTTATTCATTTTTTTGGGCTTTTATGTGCATGTAAAATCCTAACCTTTAACCTTTAACCTGATACATGAGCAAAAGTTTCACTTCAATGATTTAAAACTCAGGTGTGATGTCATCACCAAGCGTTAGCTTGGATGTGATGTCATCAATGGCATCAAAGGCTGACCCAATAAAGTAAACAACACCATCTCCACCAGAACAGTGAGATGCTTCCTTAATAACAAACCAGTGAGCCACATGAACTGTGCAGTGAGAGACACTGCAAAGGAAACTAGATGTGATAATGTTACCGCTCACATTAGACTCTCACTGAAGAATTAGATTAAATTTTTGACAAAATTCTTAAAATTAAAATAACTTGCAAATTCCTAAAATAAGAACATTATGATGGAAAAGCAATTGAAATAATTGGGCTTTGCATAAAACCCAATTATGCAAAGCACGTCACCTTTCACTTTGAAACGTCTATGGGGTGATGTCATTGGTGACATCACATCCATGTCTTCACAATTTACATAAATGTGGTGTCACCGTTTCTGATGTCATTGATGACATCACAAGCTCTTATTTAAAAAAAATGCTTGAATAAAAAAAAACACTTAGCTTAGCGCATCATTGCTACCATGGCACGTAGACGACGACGACGACGACGCTCCTCCTACCGACGTAGGAGGAGGCGATACTACAGGCGTAGGCGGCGCAGAAGCAGCTATCGCCGTAGACGTAGGAGGTATCGCCGACGTCGTTATTACTAGTCGCTCAAGTTGACCATGTAGCAAGCAGTTTCAAAAAGCACAAAAAAAATAGAAAGAAAAGGAAAAAATGATGATTAAAGACTCCTGTCCATCCTGCACATCAGTAAGACTCCAACTATTAACGTGGCTAAGGCCAAAGAGCTGCCAACGACACCACTGACTGAATTTCCACAAGGCTGGGAAGGGCTTCGGGGAAATTGCAAAGCAGCTTAGTGAAGCTAAACATGTTAATCTCACTCAGACTTTGGGCTCCATGCGAGATCTCACCTGGTGGAGTATTGAAGAGAAGGAGGCTGTTCCCCCAAATCTGGCAACATGACCCCAATCAGGTCATGTTGCCAGAGGAAACACATGACCTCTAAACACAGGAAGTGGAATTAAGACCAGAAAGTCGTGTTTTGGTTTCCTCTGACCACATCACTTTCTCCCATGACTCCTCTGGGTCATCCAAATGGTCATGGAGATGAAGACGGGCCTGGCCGTGTGCTGATTTAAGAACGGGAACCTTCTGTGCCATGCATGATTTCACACCGTTTGTGTTCACACTGCAGCCTGAAGTCACACAGTTACTTCAGGCTGATGTCAGGCTTTACTTACTTTGTTTGCGGAAGTAAACATGGATGCTAACAGTGGAGTGCTAACATATATCTGATACGTATCGGATATGCAGGTGTCCTGGGTCCAACCTGTGTTGTTCAGACTGTCATGAAAAGATCGGATACAGGTCAAAAAAATTGTATTTGGGTCTCTTCAGGCTGCAGTATGAACTGCAGCCTGAAGTTCACACTTCAGCCGGCAGTGGTGCCGACTCTCTTCGGGTCATCGACCAGCTCCTCCTGTGTGGTTCTGGGTTGATTTCTCACCTCACGACCCATCGTGAGGTGAGAGTCTTCCAACATGACAATGACCCAAAGCACACAGCCTGCGTAAGGTGAGGTGCCGACCAGTCTCCAGACCTAAACCCAATAGAGGGACTCAGACTCCATGTTTCTCAGCGGCAGCCCAGAAACCTGGCTGATCTGGAGAACATCTGGCCAGAATCCCTGCTGCAGTGCAAACATGGTGAAAAACTACAGGAAACGATCGACTGATCGTAATAATCCCAACTAATCTTGACTGATTAGTTGGGATTTTCACATGTATGAT